AACGGACCTGGACCCGTGATCTGACGGTCCCGCAGGGTCTGTGGTAAAATATGGGACTTGGGCGTATGCCCGGAATCGAATTCCGAGGTCCCAAGCCCGAGAAAAGTATTTTTAAAGAAAATTATTTGCTGGAAAATATAAAGGCTTTTTGAAATGAAATGATGCGTATTCTTGATGGTATCGGGCATGTATGTTGGTTCCGGAGCCCGGTACAGGTTTAAAATAATAAATAAGTCGAATCTGTGAAATTTGGTAAGAATCGGAGTTGATTTGGTACAAATCGGACCTTTAGTTGAGAAAATGGAAATTTCAATGTTCTTGAAGAATTTCATGAATTTGAGGTTAAATTCGTAGTTTTTGATGTTATTTTGATGATTTGATCGCACGAGCAAGTCCATATGATATTTTTAGACTTGCGTGCATGTTTGGTTTGGAGCCCCGAGGGCTTGGGTGAGTTTTGGATAGGCCACGGAGTGAATTTGGACTTAGGAGAATTGTTGGTATATTGCAGCTGTGTAACAGGCCTATGATCTCGCAATTGTGAGATCAGGCTTCGCAAATGCGAAGTTCTCAGGCTTGGGAAATGCGACCCAGGCGTCGCAATTGCGAACCAAGCCTAGGCAGGCCATTCTCGAAAATGCGACACTCTGGTCGCAAATACGAAAAAGTCAGGAGTCGCAAATGCGACATATCCTTCGCAAATGCGAAGGTAGCAGACTTTTGGAGGGTTCGCAATTGCGACATCTGCACCTGCTAAATGAGATTTCAGACGGGATTCTTCTTTATTTTTATAACTTTTCAAAACCTAAACATCACATAGACGATTTTCTTGAAGAGAGTTCTTCCCCATATCATAGGTAAATGATTTCTAACTTATTTTCTTCAATTTATATCATCTTTTTATATGATTTCACTTTAAAATCTAGGGTTTTTCATGGGAAATTGGGTGCTTTTGGGTAGAAGTTAAGATTTTCAAGTTTTGGGGATTTGGACCTAAATTTGAGGTCCGATTTCAAAACTAATTACATATTTGAGTTCGTGAGTGAATGGGTGATCGGGTTTTGGTTCGAACTTCGGGTTTTGACCAAGCAGGCACGGGGTCGATTTTTTACTTTTTGGGGAAAACAATGGGAAATCTATTTTCATGCATTAGAATTGGGTTATCTAGCATTTATTGATATCGTTAAGTAATATGTGGCTAGATACAAGCGAATTGGAAGTGGAACCGAGAGGTAAAGCGGTAGTAGAGGCTTAATTTGTCCGTGCAATCGAGGTATGTGTTTGGCTTAACCTTAGCTTGAGGGAATAGGAGTTTTGGTCTATTTGCTATGTGTTTGTATCGAGTACGACGTATAGGTGTGGTGACGAGTATCTATACGTTGGTGTCAAGCATGCCCGTGAGTCTTATACCATGATTGTTGTGACCCTATTATGTATCGATCATGCTCAAATTGATGATTATTAAGGTTGAACAAAGCTTATGAAAGTTTCTTGGTAATTGACTATTGTTGAGTATTGACTCAAATTGAAGTTTCATTTTGTAAAGAAATTGTTGAAACGAGATTGGTTATAGCTGAATCCCTCGTTGGGACGTTTGTTGATATTGTTGATTCCTTTGCCGGGATACTATTGTTGATATTGTTCATTCCCTTGTCGGGACATTGTTTCTGTTGTTTGGGTGAGTAAGAGTGTAAAAGCACGAAGGGTGATGCCGTGCATGATATTGTGAGAGAGTGTAAAGCACGAAGGGTGATGTCGTGCCGATATTATGAGTGTTAATGCACGAAGGGTGATGTCGTGCCATGATTTGAGAGTTAATGCACGAAGTGTGATGTCGTGCCGATATTGTAAGGAATAATGCAAGAAGGGTGATGTCGTGCCATGATTATGAGAGTTAATGCACGAAGGGTGATGCCGTGCCATTTCTGTTGATTCATATGGTGAGAACGAGAGTAAAAGCAAGAAGGGTGATGTCGTGCACGTGTTACCGTTTCATTATTCTTGCTGATTTATGTATGATGTTCACTATGCTTCCTTATTGGTTTACTGTTAGAATCTAATATTCCCCGCAGCATGTCCTCTTCCCACCTTATTCTGTTGATTTTTGTTATTATGTTTCTGCTTGTATATGATTTATCTGCACAGGTATATATGATTGTCGTGTCCTACCCTCGTCACTACTTCGCCGAGGTTAGGCTCGACACTTACTTAGTACATGGGGTCAGTTGTACGGATACTACACTCTGCATTCTTTTGTGCAGATTTCGGTACCGGACCCAGTAAGTAGCTGAGGTAGCTGCCTTCAGTCCAGGGAGACCAAGGTAGATCTGCTGGCATCCGCATAGCCTAGAGTCCCCCTTCCCTGTTTAGCTTTTCTACTGCCTCTTTTCATCCCGAGAACAATTGTACTTTTCTTTCCAGACTTATATTTGTAGTAAAAATCTTAGTCGTTCGTGAATTTGTGATACCAGATTTGTGGGTAGAAATGTATTGGAGTATTTGGATTTATTTTAACTCTTCCGCGCTTTTCATTTGTTTAGCTTTAGTTACTGTTTTCAATTGTTTGGGTTGATTGTTAATGTGTAGAACCGTAATAGTTGGCTTACCTAGCTTTCACTAGTAGGCGCCATCACGACTCCCGAGGGTGGGAAATCCGAGTCGTGACAGAAGTTCTCTCAAAAACCACTCTTATGTGCTTAAGTCTTTCAAACACTTATATCAATAAGTATAGAATAATTTTTTAAGGTTTCTCCATTTATGGGTAATCGGTGGTGCTTTCTCTTATAGCAAAAACCAACTCCAAATATGAATAAAAGTCAAATCCAATCCAAATAGGGATGAAAACAAAAAAGGAATATGATTAGGCCATTAGGCCTTTGGCTAGATAACATGAGCATGTGCCCAAAAAACTCTCTCTCCAGCTAAGGAGCCAAATACGTCTTCAAGTAGTGAAACTATTGACAGGTTTCATGTCTGCTAATTTTCTGCAAAACTCATGATTATATGCAACCACTGCTTTCATCAGCATATCCAAAGGACTATCATCAGTATGTATCTTCTCAACACCAAATAATTTCTTTTCCACAGTCATTCTTATCCAATGATAATTTTTATTTATATGTTTCGTCTTAGAATGAAAAGTGGAGTGCTTGGTGAGACTGATAGCACTCTTAGTACCACAAAATAAGAAGTACATTGATTGCTTAAAGCCAAGATCATTAATAAACTTCTTTATCCATAATAATTTTTAAGTACATTCAGTGACAACAATATATCCAGCTTCTATCGTGGATAGATCTATGGACTTTTCTAGTCTAGATTGCCAATAAATACGTTCCCTGCGAAAATGATCAAATGACCAGAAGTGGATCTTGAATTATCAAGATTGTCTCCTAAATCAGAGTTTGTGTAACGAACAAGTTCAGGCTTCCTACTGCCAAAGCACAACTTCAAATCTCCATTACTTTTTAGATACCTTAGTATCCATTTTACTATATTCCATAGAAAGAAATCTACTAATAATACAAACGACATGTGCAATATCTGGTCTAGTGCAAACTATAATATACATCAAACTACCAACAGCAGAAGAGTAAGAAATACGAGACATCTCATTTTCTCTTCATCAGTAGATGGCCTCTGACTAATACTCAGTTTAAAGCACTTAACGCGAGGAATACTAACCACTTTTGCATCTGTCATATTTAACCTCTTGAGTACCTTCTCAATATATTACCTTTTGAATAAAAATAACTTCTTTCTATCTCTGTGTCGGTAGATTTGAATGCCCAAAATTTTCTTTGCTGGCCACAAGCCCTTCAACGCGAACAATTTGCTCAATAACTTCTTAAGCACTACAATTCTGGATTTATTCTTGCCAACAATAATCATATCATCCACATAAAGCAATAAGATAATAAAATCATCATCGGAAAATTTCTAAAAGAATACACAGTGATCTGAAAATATTTTCTTGTACCCTTATTTTTCTATGACAGATTCAAACTTCAAATACCCTTGCCTTAGAGCTTGTTTCAATCCATATAGGTTTTCTTTAATTTGCAGACATAGTTTCTTTTCCTTTAGTTACAAAATTCTCAGGTTGCTCCATATAAATCTCTTCATCTAAACCACCATGAAGAAAAGCAGTCTTTTGAACTATTTGCTCAACCTCTAAATCTAGACCCGCGGCTAAGCCTAAAACCATATGAATAGAAGACATATTTACAACAGGGGAGAAAATTTTATCAATGTCAACTCTCTTCTTCTGGCCAAAACCTTTAACAACTAATCTCGCCTAGTACTTAGGCGCAGAGGTAGTTGATCTTGCTTTACTCTGAATATCCATTTATTTGATAAAGCTCTTTTACATTTTGACAAATTCACTAATGCATATGTTCCATTCTCAGGGAGTGACTTCGTCTCATCTTCCATGGTTTATATCCACTAATTTTTGTGAGTATCTTGCATGGCTTCATCATAACTCTCAAGTTCTCCCATATCTGTCAAAAGTACATACTTGTAGACATGTGATTTTTGACCTTCCCAAAGATTTTTCATATTTTAGCACGTAAATATTTAATTTAGGCCTAATATAGCTATTTCAACTAATTTTTACTTTTTTACTTTATTTTATTACAAGAAAAATGAAAATTACAAAATAAAAGTATTTTATTTTATGTACCTTTCATAAAGCAAAAAAAATATACAAAAAATAGTACCTTATTTTTATTTTAAATATGATATTTGAAAATACCAAAAAAATATGTTTGTTTTAACGGTTAGTCTTATTCTTATAGTTATTTTTACTTATGTAAGATTAATAAGTAAATGAGGTCGTATTTTTAGTTTCGTTCACCGAGAAAGAGTAAACTTGGGCTCAAACAACCTATTTTTAGGCCTAATTTTCGGACCTAGCCCATAATAACCCAAACCCAATACCCCTAAAACCCTACACTTAGACTATAAAAAGACCCCTAGACTCTAAACAACCTAGAGCTAGACCTATACACACAAAAAACGGCAGCTTGGAGATCATCTCCTTCAACAACAAAAACGCTAGATTCAAGCTCATCTCTTAAAAAATTTGATTATTCTATCTTCTCATAGACAAGAGAAAGCAGCCGCAATTCTTCACGTCAAAATCAGGGGCGGATTTAGGGGCGCAAGGGTGTTTACCCGAACAACCTTCGCCGAAAAATTACACTGTATATATAAGGCAAAATTTGTTTTTTACCTCTATATATTAAGTTTTGAACACCCTTAACACAATTCAAAAGTATAATTTAGTGGTCAACTATGTTCAAATGGGTTCTGTTCCCACAAAATGACAGTCATTCACCATTTTTGGTAGATTCCTTTGCCACCCTTCATCAGCCGCTCAACTCCACCCTAATCCTCAGCAAAAACAGCCCCAGAAACAAGCTCGAAAACCATCCCTTTCTCATCCCAAAACAGTCAGCAAAATCCAGCTCAAAAATAGCCAAAAACGCAGCTGAAATCACCTTGAAAAATGCAGCAAAAATCAGCCATGTAAACCATCTCTGTTAGCTCCCTGCCTCGCCGAACGTTTTGCCGGAGTTCTGCCATCTCCGGCTAACTCTTTTCTGTTTGAAAATAGTTCGGATTCAGCCATAAATCAGTCCAAAACCAACGCCGGTCAGACTTTAAACCACCTGCAAAAACAGCCGAGGTTGTGTTCGAGTTTCCGGCGTTGATTCCGGTCTCTGTTACCATCAAATAACTGCTGCTGTAAAGTTTTGCCAGAGGATCATTTTAATGAGGAAAGCTATTTTGAAGGTTCATTTCTCCCACCTTCATTTTATTCTAGTACTGTGCTTACTAAATACATGCTTTCGTCTTGTGAAATTTATGTCCATAAATGTGTGACCTTACTGTTTGTTTGGATTTCCATTGATTGTTGAGTTTTTTTTCTTTTTTTTTTAATTGATTTCTTATTTAACTAGAAATTTACTTATTCATGTGCTTATCTCACTCTCTTTAAGAAGTGACGCATAGTTGTTGGTTTAAAGTTTGGTGCAAAATCTGTTGGTTATACCTAATGAGGTCTATGTTGCTAATTATGACTAATGGACAATGGGTTGGTTTGATAGAATTAATAATTGGGGCAGTGGATAATTTTGTGAATTTGGTGGGCCGCGAGAATTTACTAAGGTCTTGCATACATGTTTGAGTCTAGTTAATAATTGTTTTGGAGATTAAAGCAATTTAACATGAGGAGGCCATGAGATTTTGATCTTTAAGGAAATAAAAGGGTCAATAATAACTTAATAAATTTCGTAGTTGCTATAGGCGTGCTATTTTAAATTAATTTTCTTTATTTATCTAAATTTGGGTGTGCATTTCATGTGACCCAACTCCAATTCTCAACAACGTTAAATAAAATGTGTCGTGGACCGCGGGTGCATTTCATGTGATGTGGTTCAAGGCGCGTTTTAAATAACGTTGAATCTTCCTAAATTAATTAAAAGCGGTTAATAAGTTAAAATATACCATAGGCTAAAACATGTATTAAAATCAGATAATAGGCCAATTATAATAGTTTAAGCGACCGTGCTAGAACCACGGACCCCGGGAAGGCCTAACACCTTCTCTCGGGTTAACAGAATTCCTTATTCAGAATTTCTGGTTCGCAGACTTCAAAAGGAAAGTCGAATTTACTCGATTTGGGATTTGTAAAATAAACTGGTGACTTGGGACACCCAATAAACTATCCCAAGTGGCGACTCTGATAAATAATCTCATTTCGAATAATGTCACTTTAATTGAAAAAACTCCCTTATATCTCCTCTCGGGTGGTAAAAAGGAGGTGTGACAATACTCATCAGGAGGATAGCGCATTGAGTTTTTCCTTCTCCCTTGTATATCTTCTAAGAGATGTTTTAGGAGCATTCGAAGTAGTTACTTGAGAAGGAATTGGTTGTTGATCAATCACAAATGGAGCATCCATAATATCTACACCTTGATAATCACTTTAATGTTGATCACTATCTTCATTATTGTCTTGGGTTCCTTCATGTACAATAGGTGCTTTAGCAGTAGAAACTAGATCAATATGAACTAAGCTCTCGTTACTCTGAGAATCTATCTTCAATAGTCTGATCTTCAAAGAATATTACATCACTACTTCTAATAAGTTTATTATCGATTGGATCATAAAAACGATACCTAAACTCATCTTGACAATAGTCAATAAAGATGCACTGCTTAGTTTTTACAATCCAGTTTCAATCTCTCATCTTTAGAAACATGCACACAAGTTGTATACCCAAAAACTCTTAGGTGACCATAAGAAATATCTTTGGCAAACCAAACTCTCTCTGGAACATCACCATCCAAAGCAATAGTATGAGGCGAATTGATAACATAAGCAACAAGTGTATTTGCCTTTCGGAGCATGTCTAACCCAACAAGTGTATAAGAATTACAACCATACCTTATGTCGCAATTCGTATTAACCTTTGTCATTAAAGGTATCCTCATTGCATTAGAACTTCTGATTGGTGCACTTACCTGTTTAGCTCTATACGTTTCACGTATTTCATAAGTACATCAATACCAACTCGGGGATACAGTGCACTTTTCTAATCTGTTGTTAAACGCTTTTTTTTACCATTTATATAAAACAGTATTTGGGTGATATCATACATGAATTGATTTACAACTTATATTATTCTTTATTTTGGATAATTATAATTACAGACACATGCTTTGAGGTGTAACCAACTTTGTGTATGTTTGTATAACTTTTTATATGTAGAAGTCATTATTGTAAGAGATTTAATGTGAAGGTTTTATAAATTGCTCAAATTATAGATTTCGTATCATTCTTGAGCACTTCACCTTCATTGGACTTGATCCTCTTCTTCCTCTTGCATATTATGAACACAAAGAATTGGGTAAGTTTCTCTTGATCCATCCAGTTGTAATGCATTTTTATGGAATATTCAGATTCTAATGTTTTTTTGAATGAGCTATCACTGAAAGCATTTGTGTTTGCAAATCTAAATATAAATATATATATATATATATATATATATGAAGGTTACATATTCCTTCAATCTTAGTTCAATTCTGCCAAGGTGAACCCATAATTTTTACTAGTTCTTCGTGAATTATTTTTGTACCAGCAAAAGGTCGGTCTCTCTTATTTATTTGGTACACTTTTGTCAAATAGAGTTTTAGTCTTTTGTCCTAATGATAAACATGCTCAAACTTTGATGTTATACTCGGCTATGGTTTTGGTTGGCAATTAGGAGAGCTTTGGGATAAACTAGAACTATAATTTAACTACTAGAATAAATTCATAGGAGAAGAGACATGAACTCATACATAAAAATTTACACATTGGATCAATGCAAGAGAGATTCAAAGAGAGATACAAGGGAACAATCCTCGAAACCTTATCCAACTAGGTAATTCTTCTATTATCCAAAATCTTGCTCCCTTAAATGACCCCATTCTAATCATTTATACTAGGTCTAACTAAGGTAAAGAAAGACATTAAGTACATTTAATTGGCCTACTTACTATGCTCCAAAAGGAAAATTTTGTAGCCCAAGTATATTAATCATAGGCAAGCATGGCCTAGGTTTATATGCTTGTGTCCACGTTATCAAAGTGGATGGCGTGTGCGGTAGTTGCTGGATCGATTTGTATCACTGTGATGACCCAAAAGGTCAACTTATGTTTTAGAGCTCGATTCCGTGTTCCGAGACCTTCAAAACTCTATTTTATTTCTCCTCGATTTGCGTGCGCAGTCCGGACGTATTTCTAGAAAGCTTATATGTTGAAAGTTAATGAAAATAATAATTTTGCCTTTAAAAGTGGATTTAGTTGACTTCGGTCTACGTTTTGAGTAAACGGAACCGGACTCATACTTTGAAAGTTCCGGACCTTGGCTTATGCCCGGAATCGGATTCGAAGGTCCCTAGCCCGAGTAATGAATTTTTGTTAAAAACTGTAAGTCTGAAAATCTAATAATTTAAAGAAATTGATTAATGTTTGCTCTCGTTGGTATCGGGACCGTATTTTGGTTTCAGAGCCTGATACAGGTTTAATATAATATTTAAGTCATCACTGTGAAATTTGGTGAAAATCGGAGTTGATTTGACGTGATTCGTGCATCCGGTTGAGACAAGAGGAACTTAAAAGTGTTCTTAAGAATTTCATGTGATTTGGTGCTAAATTCGTAATTCTAGATGTTATTTTGGCGCTTTGATCGCACGAGCAAGTTCGTACGATGTTTTAAGACTTGTGTGCATGTTTGGTTTGGAGCCTCGAGGGCTCGGGTGAGTTTCGGACAGGCTACGGAGTGATTTGGACTTAAGAAAATTTGCTGGTATGCTCAGGTCTGCAGATCTCGCATATGCGAGGTCTGATTTGCAAATGCGAGCCTCGCATTTGCGAGCATGGGAGGGGACTGGGTAGCTTCGCATTTGCGAAGAATAGGTCCGCATTTGCAAAAGTCAAAGTTCGCATTTGCGACAAGCTGTTCGCATTTGCGATACTTTTCTCGCATTTGCGAGCTTCGCAAATGCGAAGCTCCGGTCGCAAATGCGACATCTGATAAGTCTAGACTTATTTCTTATTCATTCTCCTATTTTTCAAAACCTAGAACACAAAAGGCGATTTTCCAAAGACGTTTTCTACCCCAAATCATAAGTAAGTGATTCACAAATAGTTTATTTCAATCTTTAACCTCTTTTTACAAGATTTCATCCTAGAATCTAGGGTTTTCATGGTTAATTGGGGATTTTTGGGTAGAAATTAGGGATTTTGAAATTTGGGGATTTAGACCTCAAATTGAGGTCGGATTCCAAAATCAATTGTATATCCGAACTCGGGGGTGAATGGTAATCGGGCTTTGGTCCGAATTTCGGGTTTTGACCAAGCAGGCCCGGGGTCGGTTTTTGACTTTTTGGGGGAATTGTTGGAAAACTTATAATTATGTATTGGAATTGATTTCTGTAGCGATAAGTGATGTTATTAAGTTAATTATGACTAGATACGAGTGGTTCGGAGGTGGAAACTAGAGGAAAAGCGGTAATTGGGCAGTAAGTGGCATGTGGATCAAGGTAAGTGTTGTGTCTAACTTTGACTCGAGGGATTAGGGATCCCCGACTTAATTGCTATGTGAAAATCTATGTCTGTGGCGTATAGGTGAGGTGACGAGTACCTATGCGCCGCCAATTTATCTGTTTTGACTGTTCCATTCCCGTTCTTAATATAATGTTCCCTGCCTTAACTGCTACATGCTTTATTGATATTTTCATGATTTCTTGCTACTTGTCGGATATTGTTTTCGTTGTTAAAAGTATTGGATCACGTAATTTCATTGTTTCATATTATTGGTTTAAGTTGATTTATCGATATTTTATGGTACTTTTTGGGTTGGTCTCGCTATGTAGTATTAATTGAGTGAAGTTTCATAATTGTATCGCTTTCTATTTGTTTTGGTTTGAGGCTTAAATATTGTGGAGAGTTTGAGCTAAATTGTGAAATTTCTGTTCTTATTGTGTGGTTGGTACTGATATGGTGGGATCGGGTTGCACGCCGCAACAGGAGGAATAAAGGTGATATATTGAGGAGGAATAAGGGTGAAATATTATTATATGGTGGGATTGGGTTGCGCGCCGCAACAGGAGGAATAAGGGTGATATATTGAGGAGTAATAAGGGTGAACTGCTATTGTACGGTGGGATCGGGTTGCACGCAGCAACAGGAGGAATAAGGGTGGATTGATGTGGAGTAATAAGGGTGAATGTTCATATTGTTACTGATTATATGGTGGGATCGGGATGCGCGCCACATCAGTTTATGTGTTTATGTATCCTTCTTCTGCTGTGAAGCTATTCTGTAGTTTTGTATCTCACTTAAGGATTGGTTATAGTTTGGTACTTATAAGATATCTGAGTTCCGTATTCATTTTTGTTGCAAGTTACTGTTTTGTTTTGTCCCGTACTTCTTTTCGCTTTATTACATTCTGTATGCAGATTATATTGTAATTGCCCCGTCGTAGCCTCGTCACTACCTCGTCGAGGTTAGGCTCGGCATTTACCAGTACATGGGGTCGGTTGTACTGATACTGCACTATGCACTTTATGTGCACATTTCGGAGCAGGTAGTGGCTGATTGAGAGATTGGCTGCAGGTTCACAGTTTGGAGACCCAAGGTAGTCCTGCTGGCGTCCGCAGACCCCGCCGTCCCCTTCTACATTTCTATATTTATGTTTTTCTTTCTTTTCAAAACAGATGTAATTTCTTTCAGGCCGATATTTGTAGTAAATCATAGTATGTTCGTGGATTGTGACACCGGATTCTGGATTATAATTGCTACAATATTGGTAATAGTATATATACACAGAGGCTGTTTACTTAATTACGTAATTATTTCTACTTGTTTTAGTTTGCTTACTCTTATATCATTGAAACGTAAAGAAAATTGGTTAATAACACTCTGACGTTGGCTTGCCTAGCAAGTGTGATGTTAGACGTCAGCACGGTCCCGAAGGTGAGAATTCCGGATCGCGAAAATCACGTACCACCGTCAGAAAGTTAGAGAGAGAGTTAGAGCCTCTCTAGAATATAGTAATTTTTTAGAGTTGTCTTTACTCCTCAAGTGTGAGTGCCGCCAGGGCTAGGGTTAGATCGGTATGATCCAATCATCTGAAATACAACAGGATTTTGCCGTCTAGGTATTATCAGTTTTCTTTTTCTTTCTAGAGAAATATCTACTATAGTACTTCATCTGTCTCAATTTATGTGGCACCCTAGTCAGACCCAAAAAGAATATCACCTTTCCTTATTTAGAAATAACTTATCTTTAAAATTTCACTTTATTCTTAATAAATTGATTTACAGTCACACAAGTATCTATGGTTTATTTTTGATAGTTTTAAAATTCTTTCTGTCAAACACCACCATATAAATTAGGACGGAGGGAGTAGGTATCTGTCAAATTCTTTTACTCTGTTCATAATCCTTTTTATAATTTTAATATTATTATCATTATTGTAAGTCGAATTTTAACTTAAATTTCCGTTATGCAAGTTTCATTAACAAAACTTGGATTAGTATACATCAATTTTTATAAAAAGGTATAAACTTTTACATCAGAAAACATAATCCAAAGTACTACTCATTTCAGAATCACCTACTAACAAACTCACTACAAAAAGAATTCCCATCTAAATGATGAGAAATTAAGGCCAAGAGTCTAATAAAGAGACAAAAACCAACCCCACACCTATTTTGAACTTCAAAAGGACCTAAAATGATGCTAAAGCTATACTCTAGCCCTAAACTCCACTCTTAACCACTTTCAGTGCCATCTCTTCTCATCATTCCTCTCTCTCTACCACCTAAAATATGATCATCTAATTTTGTTTTCTATTTCCCCCCATTATATCTCTGTACAAAGAACCAATGAACAAAGCAATGAAAAAACAGCAAGCAAATAACATTAACTGAAAAGAGAAATGCAGAGAGGACACAAAAAAACACTATGACTAGGTAAAGCTATTCTCTGCTTCCTTTTTCCCTTCCCTTTACATCTACTCCTCCACTGAGGATTTGCTGAACGCCTGTTCGGTGATTGTTGCTGGGATTTGAGTCCTGGCTGTGGCGTTGTTCTCCGGAATGTCCTTGGTTCTCATTTCAAGGACCTTCTTGTGAGAATTGGAATGCATTGATGGAACGAACGTAGGACTTGCAGCAGGCCGGTACTCAGGGAAGAGCCTTCCTGACTTGTAGCGAACGCCACAAGCGTTGCAGAGGGTTTTCGGTCCCAATGGACCTGCTCTCCATTGAGGCGTCTTCGTTATCTCGCAATGCATGCATCTTCTAACTGCGTGTGCACTGGAGTTCTGATTTGTCTCAATTGGAGCTAGAGGAATTGTAAATTTGATTTTCTTTTTCGTCTTCTGCTCTGCTGCTGTTGCTGCTGGTCTTGGGATCTTCTTCATTGGAGACTGTGCAAAGTTTCCGGATTCTGAAGAAGTTACGGGAGCAACAAATGGCCGGGGATTCTCAATAAAGACTGATGTTGGAGAGATAAGTTGAATTGCTGGCCGAGGATTAAAAGTTGCAGGGCGAGGACGCTTGCTCCTAGCACGTTGTGGGCCACGGTGACATGGACTGAGAGGAATAGTTTTGCCGCCTGAGCAGGAAGAGGAGGAGCTGCTGCTGCTGCTGCTCTCGAGCACAGAGACAGGACTCGAAGACTGGAATTTGCTGTGGGATGTCTCTTTGTTGATGGGAGCATTTTCTTTCCCAAGGGTCAAGCCCCCGGCCGAGAAGGAATCCTCCACAAATGTTGAGAGCCATTCAAGTTGTACAATATCCTCATACTGCAAAACAAAGAGAATTTGATTAATGTCAGAACAATAATATGATGTGACTCAAACCAAAAGTAATGGACACGAAATATGATGATTATTCCCCAAAGTAAGATTAGCAAGCTACACAACACCTAATTTGTGCAAATAGAATGATAGTTCAATGTCTGTTTTAGTTACACAATCATTTAGCTGCAAATAGAATGTCATTATCTGTCATTCATTGTGATGGCCATTCCCTGCTAAATGGCAACCACCTCTTCAACTGACCCCATGCAAATGGAAAGTGATGGAAGACGAAAATGACTGAATTCTCCAACTACTACGCAGGAAACACCAACAGCCATTAACTACTGGAAGTGTATATATAGCAATCCCTCAAAACTCAGAAAGGTGATTAATAGTGTCTGTTTTGGTCCATTATATGCATGATTATTTAGCTTTAGTGCTCTAAAAGGTAAAGATCAGAGGATCATTTTCCAGACAAAATCAAGAAAACACTTTGTGAACAGGAGACCTGGCCAAACAAAGACGGAGCTAGAATTTTGAGTTTATGGTTCTGGATTTCAGAAAAGGCTGTTTACTGCGTTCTTGATAAATCATTTATACATATTAAATGAATTTTTCAACCAACAATACGGGTTTGATCCAAAACTACTGGTTCTTCCGAACCCATACACAAGCTTATGGCTCCGACCCTGAAGGTACAAGCCACGTTCAACTGATATATGGCTGTTGCCCCTAAAACACAGTAGTTATCAGTGAAAATGCTTTTAATGTAAAATAAATTGATTCTGTAGACAAACATTGTACATTCTCAGAGTGGTCCCAAAATAATTGACTGACTACTATTGCTACTGCAAAAGAAATTTTAAACATGAGCTAGCGTCACTAAAGTCTGTCAACTTAACTAAGAAAAAGATAACCAACCAAGATAAAAAATGTCTTAAATCTTTAACACCGACAGAAGCGAGCTGGCAGTCAGATATGATTCAAAAACAAATCTTCCTCCCTAATTATGACACAATTGCTTAATCATTATTCCCTCCGGTCCAAAATAAGTGATTTTTTGGATGTTTTCACACATATTAAGAAATCCACCTTTTAGCATTAATTAGCAATGGAATTGACCATATTAACCTTTACTATCTCACATAAACACTCCTAACACATATTCCAACACTATTTACTCCAAGGACAATGTAGGAAAAAAATACTCCCTCCGGTCCACAATAAGTGATTTTTTAGCTTCTTTTTTGTGATCCAAAATAAGTGATTTTTCCAAATTTCAAGAATGAATTAATTATTCTTTTCCTACATTGCCATTGGAGTAAATGATGTTGTAGTATGTGTTAGGAGTGTTTATATGAAGTGATAGTAAAGGTTAATATGGTCAATATCATTGCTAATTAATGTTAAAAGGTGAGTTTCTTAATATGTGTGAAAACAACCAAATAATCACTTATTTTGGACCAGAGGGAGTAATTAATTTATTCTTGAAATCTGAAAAAATCACTTATTTTGGACCACAAGAAAAAGGCCAAAATATCACTTATTTTGGACCGGATGGAGTAATTAACCAAAACTTACACAAAAACCTCGCACCAGCTACTACACCCACTCATGGGACAATAGAGTTTGTGTAGCTAGCCAATCACGTGACAAGACGCTCGGATCCCCAACCAACCAAACTTAACACCGTGCAAACCATACCGTTTTAATCAACATCACCATTTAAATACGTCAATCAATGTACATATACCGACACTTTACCTATAGTAAGTTTTTAATAATTAATTACTCATTCCATCCCAATTTATTTAGGAATTGAGATACTCACTGGAACAGAGAGTTCGGCCGACAGGTCGGAAGGTGAATTGTTGTAGCTGCCGGAGAAAAGGGGGTCGGAGGGCTGATCCCATATGCTCGGGAATTCCTTGCAATCAGTTGAGCTAAAGCCACCACACTCATTCTCTGACGGAAACTCAATCAAGTCATCAATTTGGTCAAAGAAGCTGCCGCAATCTATCTCATCCACCAAATTTGACCCCATTTTACTCTCCTTTTTTTTCTCCCTCTCTGCTAACTATAACTTTATACCTGTTTAAATGAAAACAGAACCCGTAAATAATTGAAGTACAAACACAAGGGTGATTCAATTTATCAATCTACAGTTGTTTTCTGCCTATGCACTGTTACTTGTGGTAGCAAACAAAATGGCTAGTTGAAGTGAATGGTGTTTGCTAGCGTGCGCACACGGTGAAGGATAGTGGGCCACGCCGGCAATGTCTTCAAGCTAGATAATGTTATCATAAAAAAAGGATAGATGCTAGCCAGCTCAAAGAGGCGCGTTACCCATTTTTCAGCAGAAAAAAATTTGAAATTCTCTTTTGGAATTTTGTTACTTTGAAAATTGAAAAAGAAAAAAAAATCAGCATAATTAAGATTCTGGGACTGGATTCTTGTAATCTTTTGCAAATTTTATACATATTTTGAAAAATGGGAATACTCCAGAAAAAGTTAAAAGAAGAAAGGAACTGGTTGGAGTGTGAACTCAACAAGAGTGCACCTACGGCGCACGTTAGAGCATGCCGACATTTTTGATGAAATAGCCAGAGAATACGAGAAATGGAGGATGAACTGGAGCAAGCTGGTGCACCGACACAGAATATGAACAAAATTAGAGAAATCTAAAGGCCTTCAAATTCAATTTCAAGGAGCAAACCTTGTATAAAGAGGCTGGAATTTTCAGGCGAAAAAAAGCTCCAAAGTGTGCTAAATTTGTTAGGAATCAATTCCCTACAATAAGATTAAGAAGAAAATTAAATTCTTAGAACATATGATAAAAAAGTTAAAGCAATGTTATACAGGATGAAAACTAAAGCTTCACGCTTAGATAAATGTATCTAGAACCTAAGTTTTGTTGGCTCATTTCAGGCAAATTCAATGCAAACAGACTCATTTAACTTTTCCATTGTTTCTTTTTACTACTTAGAAAAGGAAAAAAATAAAATGGTGGAAAGATTACGGCCAAATGATTTGGAGAAGGTACGTTCGGAAAGAGAGCCAAACCTTAAACTCTACAAAATTCCCGCCAAAATTGTTACTTTCAAGAAAAGCTCAGAGAATTCCTAGTCTCTGAGCAGAGTGAATGAAAACTCTGAAGAAATAGAAATGTACAAAAACCCAAAACAGAAATAGCCCCTACCACTCTCTCCTATGAGGGGGCATGAATGAATGAATAAAGGAATAAATAATATGTACCTTAAAAGGAAATTAAACCTGAGGAAGAAGAAGTCTATTGGAAATGAAATGAAAGAGAAGCTAAAAAAAGGAGAAAGAAGAGTGGTGATGGTATTGGTAGGTGGTTCACTGCTAGCTGTCTTTTTTACTATCAAAACACACACACACACACTTCGCTGTCGTGATATTTAAGTCACTTCCCCCACTCTCCCACCCTCCCTCCTTTCTAATTCCTGATTGCACACGGGTCCCATACACCTCTCCTCTCCTCTCCCACCGCTTTTTCTTTATTTTTTCTTTCTACTGTGCTATATATTTTAATGTTGTATTTGGATATATACGCGTATTTGTACTTGTGATATCTTGATTGTTTGTCCTTTAGTTGGATGAGTGGAAGAGTCTGAGAGTCTGAATGTGTATTTCTTTAGGTGGTGATAAGTTGAGTCCGGAATCAAAATGTTGTTATTTTGGACTCAAAAGACATAAATTAGTGTAAAAAAAAAAAAAGGTGACCATAATACATATAATAACGGTAACTGCACCGTTAATATATAGCGCCAGGTTTTTTGGCGTTATATACTGACACAGTGATATAGCGCCAGAAAACCTGGCGTTATACCCCTCAATAAAAAATCCTCCATCTTCTTCACCCGTCTTCTTCTTCGGCATTATTTTACTCCTCTATCTTGGTCCCCCCACTGTCCAAAAACTGTCCGCCAATATAAAAAATAAAAAACAAAAATTTGGGTCCCCCCGGCACATAAAACTTGAAGATTGTAGGTCCCACACTCGAGTAGAGCTTCTTGTTATTGTTGGTTAACGCTTTCGGAGTCAAAATTTCGATCTATTTGATTTCCGAAAATTCTAAATCGAGGTATTTCGATTTATTTTAAGTTGAAACATTTATAATAATGCATATTATTTGATTTGTATGTGTTCTATTTCGGTTTGTGTTTTTTTTTCGAAATTAGCATCTTAAATTTATCTGGATTTAATTTTACTGTTTTATATAAAAATATAAATTTGTCAAATAAATTTGTCTGTTAATATTCACATTTATATATATGTGTTTTCATGCCGTTTTGTGTTTTATTTGCAATTAAATTAATTTGTTGTTTATGTTTAGTTCTGATTATTTTTTAGCGTAGTAAAATCTAGGCCTTTTTAGCGTAGTAAAACGTAGACCCTTTTAGCGTAGTAAAATTTAGAGCCTTGTAGCGTAGTAATGTGTAGTATTTTAGCTTAGAATTCCTTTTGTTTTAGTATCTTATACTGGTATTTCGATCCTCAAAATATGGAGCCCGAAACTTATATATATATATATATATATATATATATATATATATATATATATATATATATATATA